GTGTTTCTCAAAATTTATCATCATAAGAATCATCTGGCAGATTTGTTGAAACCCAGATTGCTGGACCTCACACCCAGAGTTCTAAAAAGTTTCCAGGGGATGCAAAATGCTGTTGATCCAAGGACTATGCTTGGGTAGCAAGGGTCTAGGGCATCAGTCTTTAGAGTCAGGTGTGTGTTTGGACAATCTATTGAGTTGCAGAAAACATGAAAGTTTCTGTTTCTATTTACTTTTCACCTAATAGAAATAAATTAGGCTTTATTAACCTGTACTATGCCCTCACTTGGTCCTTATATCAAATGGTCAAAATGCTGATGGGTTGACTGTGGCCTCATTTGCTTTTTATTTTTAATTCTATTTTTTTAAAATTATGAATACAGTAAATTTGGCTTTTATGAATTTTATAAATAAGTTTTACAAATTTAAAGTATGCATAGGTTCATATAACCACCACCATAATTAGGATTTAGAGCACTTCTATCACCATGAAAAGTTTTCTCAGGCTCTTTACAGTCATGCTTTCCTCTACCCATAATCCCTGGCAACCACTGATCATTTCTCCATCTCTACAGCCTTGTCTTTTTGAGAATATCTTAAAAATAAAATCATAAAATAGTGACCTTTGAAGACTGGCTTCTTTGACCCAGCATAATTCCTTATTCCTGATTATTGCTGAGTATACTACCTTGTGTGACTATCCGTGGTTTATCTATCTACCCACTGAAGTTCATTTGCATTATTTTCAGTTTTCGCAATCATGAAAATAGCCATTTCAACATTTGTGTGCAGGTTTTTAAGGGAACATAATTTTCATTTATCTAGGTTAGATATCCAAGAGTGGGATTGCTCGGTCACATGGTAAGTATGTTTAACTTTTTTTTTTTTTTTTAAGATTTATTTATTTGAGAGGGAGCGTGGCGGCAGGGGCAGAGGGAGAGAATCCCAAGCAGACTCGCGACTGAATGCAGGGACCCATGCAGGACTCGATCTCACCACCCATATGATCACGACCTGAGCTCAAAGCAAGAGTCAGATGCTTAACTGACTGAGCCACCCAGGCACCCCAGTATATGTTTAACTTTATAAGAAACCATCAGAATGTTTTCCAGAATGATTGTACCATTTTGCATCCCCACCTGCAATACATGAGAATTCTAGTTATTCCACATTTTTGTCAGCATTTGGTATTGTCAATATTTTATTTTAGTCATTTTATTTAGTCATTCTAATAGGTATAGAGTGGTACCACATTTGTGGTTTTAATTTGCATTTTCCTAACAGCTAATGACATTAAATATCTTTTTATGTACCTATTTGCCATTCTTATCTTTTTCTTTTTTCTGCAAAATATCTGTTCTTCTTTTTTGCCCTTTTGCTGACTCATTTATCTTCTTATTGTTGGGTTTAGAAAATTCTTTATATATTCTGGATTCAAGTCCTTTTGGGTATGTGATTTGGAAATATTTTCTTCTCTTTTAACCTCATTTGTTTTTAATAATGTAATATGTTAAATTTCATTAATTTAAAATTCATTAATTTTATTAATGTAAAGATACATTAAGTTGATTAATTCATTACATTATCTAGTTTAGGTAATGGACAAAATGGTCAAGTGTATTAATAAGATTCCTGTCACAGAAACTCCGGCTGAGAAATGACTAGCAAGGCAGGCACGTGGAAACAGGAAAATGGTGCAATTGACATGTGTCCCTAATACAAGCTCCTTACCATCCAAACTATGAGGAAACTACTGTCAATGGTACGTGATCTAGCATATATATGTGTAAATGTGCCATTTTCTACAAGGAGTGAAAAAGCAATGGCTCAATTTTGAAAAATATATATGCTCTAGAGAAAGTTTGAAAAAAAAATCATACAAGGAAAATTTGGAGTGATTTCATTGCTAAAAACAATGTGACTATGTCATCTATTTAAAGTATCACATCTGAATACCTAAAAGCTTTGGAAAAAGGATTCCCAAACCTTTTTTGATATATTATAGCTGAGGAACTTCAAATGTGCCTATTTATCACAAGTATAAAATTATAACATCTTCAATTTATTTCCTAAAAGAACCAAATGACATTAGGGAAGATGCAAATTCTCTAGCCACATTTCAACAAAATTCTTTTCAAAATTATTGGGTAGAATTAAAAAAATAGTATGATTTTATAAGAATATCCCAATCTTTGAGAGGTGTCTTTTTCAGAAATAATAGCCATAAAAATCAAGAACCAAAATAAATTGAGGTTATTACCATACTTTTTTAATTAGTATACCTGTATGTGTTAAACAAAGGTCTTTAAAAAGAAGAAAACACTTTCAACATTGCTTTCCCTAAAAACAAAACAAAAGCAGTAAAACTGATAACACATTTTTTTAAAGCAAAATCTTTTGTACCATCAATAAGGAAAATGAAACTTCCTTCAAGAATATGTATTTCTTCCTTATTTCATTCTGTTAAAATATCTATTTGCAAGTATATATATACATGTTGTGATACTGCAATTTATAATAAGAAATATACAAATATTTAGCCTATGTCCCTGTTCCTGCCACAGAGCTTCTAAAAGCCCTGAAATTTTTTAAGTGAGGAGAACCATAAATGGGTCTTTTGCTATGTAAACAGGGTAACTTTTCAAATACTCCTAGGTCTCCTAAGGATGAGGACTGGTTACCAGAGGAACTAACTCTGTGGTTAGAGGGTTGGAACTTTCAGTCCCATTCTCTCCCCCTCCCAACCTCTGAAGAGGGAAGAGGGGCTAGAGATTGAGTTCAATCTTCAATAGCCAATGATTCAGTCATTCGTGCTTATGTAATAAAGCCTCCATAAAAATCTAAAAGAAGGGGTTCAGAGAGATTCCAGGTTGGTGAACAGGTACAGATTCAGAGAGAGTGGTGTGCTGAGACAGCATGGAAGCTCTTTGCCCCTCCCACGTACCTTGCTTTATGCATCTGGTTGTGCCTAAATTATATCCTTTTATAATAAACTGGTAATGTAGTAAGCAAACTGTTTGAGTTCTGTAAGCCACTCTAGCATATTAATGGAACATGAGGAGGAGGTCATGGAAATCTTCTGGTAACCTCTCTATTATAGCCAGTTGGTCAGAAGCCCAGGTGACAATCTGGACTTGGGACTGGCATCTGAATTGTGGGTAGTCTTGTGGGATTGAGCCCTTAACCTCTGGAATCTGATGCTTTCTCCAGGTAGTCAGTGTCAAAACTGAGTTAATTGCTTGGTGGTGGGGGAAAAAACCCTGCACATTCAGAATCAGAATTGAGTGCAGAATTGTAAGTGTATAGAACATGTTAGTTTAGGAGATTTTATTGATGGGATGGTGATCACCTCATCAACAAGTTTTGAGACCTCTAGGCAAGAGCATGACAGAATTCTTGAGAAGAGCAAGTCTTCGTGGAGATTTTGTTTGAATACAGAATCTAGAGAAATAAGGACAAAAGAAAGAAGGAATGGGGTATAGGCAAGGGTCATGTAGTATGGACATTTCCTGGATATCTACTCTGAGGCTATTAGACCAGAAGAACTAAGGCTGAGGATGAGGGGGAAAGGGAAGAATTACAAAGTTGAACATAACACTGAGCTTGTCTTCACAGACACTGAATTCTAAGGAGAGGGTCAGAGATATACAACTTAAAACATCATTTACTCTGTAATTTTGTCAAGAGCTTTCTCTTTGGCTGAGATTTCAATGTTCTCGAGAAGACTATACCTTGATAAGAATGATCTGTATCTTTTTGGATGCAGACAGCAGGATAAAGATATCTGTTGAGTCAATGTTATCCATAAATGCTGTGGCCACTAGACCAGATGGCCCCAAGGTCAGATCCAGGATATTCTCTCATTCTGTAAGGAGCAACAAGATGCTTTAAAACTAACTTTAATCAAGACAACAGAAACATTTGCATGATCCTAAGTATAATTAAATACACAAATACTCCAAAAGTTTTGAAGTTATACAGAGAATCATAGGTGAAATATGTGAGTTAAGAAAATGATACCTTTAAACTTGAAAAACAATAATTCTTCCAATTTAATTTTATTTCTAAAAAAAAAAACAGGAAGCAAACATACCTTGTTTCACATGGTTTTAGTTAGGCCTCAATACTTCTTATATATACAGTTCTTTTTTAAAAGAAATAATCAAAATAGCATACCAAAAGAAATGAATAACTAAACAATGTTGAGTGATCAGTATTGAGGAAAGAAGAATGGAAGACTTGAGATCTACCTAAAAATGAAAGGAACATTGGCAAGTAGACATGGATTGATTATGCTCATTAATTAATGAGTAGTTTTTTTAACAGATTTTATTGATTTATTCTAGAGAGAGAGAGAGGAAGTGAGAGAGAGAGAGAGAGAGCATGAGTGAGGTAGGGGCAGAGGGAGAAGGAGAGACAGAATCCCAGACAGACTCCCCTCCAAGTGTGGAGCTGGTGCGGGGCTTGATCCCATGACCCTGAGATAATGATCCAAGCCAAAAACAAGAGCTGGAGGCTGAGCCACCCAACCAATTGGAAAAAAACCAATAAATTAGAAAAAAAACCCAAAAAAACCCTCAATAAATATAGTAAACTGTCAGGAAAAATGGTGGGCTGACTTTTCAAGGATATGTTTGGAAGATAACCTAATTTTTCAAACCCTGTTATTAAGTACATGGTGAGAATAGGTACAAATGTGGAATCTTTAGCCCACTCCACTGGAAGTATTTTCTTGTCTCATATGAAAGTCAACCTAATTGTTTCATCAAACTTTTAAATTTGCTGGAGAAGATGAAAGAGTGAGTTGAATGTTGAGCTAGTCTTTAATAAGCTTGATAGCATTTAGACTATTTTATGCACTGTGAAATTAATAAATACATACCATAGAGTATTCAGAGATCTTGATGCGAGAAACAAAACAGTAAATTATTCATTTCTCCTACTTTTATAGAGTGACTCTTGCCAAAAATTTTTTTTTTTTTTTTGCTAAAAAGACTCAAAAATAAAGACCATTTATTTTAATAAATGTCTATTTTAATGTTTTTCACAATAGAATAAATACTTCTCTTGATGACTGTAGACACGTAAGGCTGTTTGGTAGTATTCAGAACCACCACAGTAATGGTGGTCTTCCTGATCGGTGTGTAATCTTAAGTAATTATAAGGAATTACTTCTCTGAAACTGCTGTCAAACCAGCAGGACTGCATTTATGCATCCATCATTTTCAGGGTTGTTGGTAACCTGGGCATATTTGCCCCAAATAACTTTGCCTCCTTGTGTCACAAGGCCCAACTCACTCACGTTCACCTCAATTACAGTGCCTTTGGTAATAACACCCAAAGTTGTATATAGTGGGGATGAAGGATTCTTTTTTACACCAAGTATTGGCAGGCAAAAGGTGGCTTTCAATTCAGGATGTGTTACATGGGCCTTTTTGAAACGTAAGCCCATTGGTCTAATGAATCTCTCATATTTAGGTGGTTTTCGAGTAAAGCCGTCCCCAACAAAGCAGACTTTAGTGACCATCCTCTTCCATGCTTTCTTCTTTCTCTTTCCTGTTCGAATCACTTTTAATACTTCTGTTTCTCCCTGGGCACGGACTTTGGGCAAAGGAACTTCCCATTTTCCCGCTTTCTCTTTTCGTTTTTGTTTAATCATATTGGAAAGTACTTTAGCTCGGGACTGTCCCTCTCTGTCCAGTAGATATGCAGGTACTGCTCCTTGTGGAGTCTTTTCATCATTCTTTGTTTGGTGTTTCTCTTTTCATGCATCTTGATAGTCTTTTTCATTTGTATTTTCTCAGCATGGCACTGTTTATGGTAGAGCTTAGCTTTCAGACCAATCATCTTTTTTGCCTTCTTTGAACGTTCATGAGCCTCTCGACCTTCTTTCTTTCTTTTTTTCTCATGGTAATCCAAACGATAGCCATATCGCTTCCGGTGTAACTCAATATATTCATTTTGTGGCATGGTGACAGCCGCAGAGCCGTCGGGGGCAGCTGCCGGGGAGCGAAGAAGCTCTCAATTTTCGGGTATCCCAGACCCGCGAACTGACTCCACACAAGCCGCGACGGGAAAGAGAGTCCTAAACCGACCGACTCTGGAGAAAGCGCGACACATTGGTTCCGAACCTCTGTTCTTCACGTTTAGCTGGAGGGGCGGAAATTGCTGGCAGGCCTTGCCAAAAATTCTTAAAATCTATTTTATATATCTGACAGGTGTATTTTTTTTTTTTAACATTCTGTAGTTCAAAACTTAATTGTTAACCCCATTTTATGGTTGGGAAAAGAGACCAAGCATCGTATTCAAGACTGAAGAGAAATAGAGGAAAAAAATGTAGAGGGGCCATGAGAAAAATAGGATGAAATATAAAGCCTGTTGGTCCTTATGTCTTTCCACAGGTCTTTGATTTGTCAGGACTGTGCCTTACGAAGTTATGCTCACTTGGCAAAAGTATTATGTCCCCAAGCATATTAAAAATCAAACCCCTGTCTCCTCTTCTTTCCAACTTCCTTCCCAGCCTCGCTCACACCTCCCATCATCTGTGAACAACATGTCACTGTTCACGTGTTGGCAAATGAGGTCCCTCAGGGTGTTTGTCACTGTCATGTTTTGATTGTTTGTCTACAGCGCCCAGACTTTGTTCCATCTTTGGCACACAGACATTGAAATGAAATGGTATGTCGGAAAATCCAGGTTGCCTTTATAACAAAGAGCATGTTGCCTCTTTAGGGAACAATGAAACATGATGAATAGCTATTCAATTTTTTGTAGTACTTCCAACACTGGATAAAGCAAAAATCTGGCCCAATGTTGAGAGTGGCCATCTCTTTTGTAGCCAGTACTGGAATGGTTAATTAGTTTGTGGCCCTCGAAGAAGCAACAATGAGCAAGCTCCTGCCACTGCATCCCAACCAAAAACAAAACCGACAGATCGCACTCCACAGCTGAAACAGATGGTTGCTTACGGGGCCAACAAAGCGAGCATAAACCGTAGAGGCTTTCTTCTCTGCCACAGCCCGAAAAAGGTGAAAAGAACACCTTCCTTTTGGGAAGACACAGACACACACATCACACCGCACCACACCACACCACACCAGCTAAACTCTAGCATGCTGTTGCCTCATAAACTATTGCAAAATCTTTAGCCACGCAAGATGGCATTCAGGGGAAATTGAAATACGACCCTGTGCTTTTCTACAAACATGAAGAATAATGGACTTTAAAAATATTGTTGTGGACAGGATAGAGGGAAAAATGCTTCCACCTCAAACCTGCCTCTGACTTATGGATGACAGGTTTTCAATCCATTCATTTTTAGAACTGAGGAAGGTAGATAATTTATTAGTCTGTTTAAAAGTCACAAAACCAAAGGAAAGGCATTTTCAAGTTTCAAAAAACAGTTCTCATAATGAAGATTAAAAGCCCAGATATGTGTCCTTCGGCTTAGCAGTGGTTAAACACACACTATGGTAATTGGGCAATATATCTTTCCAAGATGCTCATGAGATGGAAGGCAGGGACAAGTTCAGGGGTATTCCAATGGCTATCCAGAGGAGAGCAGGCATGACATGAAGAAAAGGAGAATGTGAACTGAAGCTCAAGAAAACCAACGTTGCTTCAACTGCTAGTCTACACATTGGGACATTCTTTCAAAATACTCTAGCATCCCCATGGCTTTGGGTATTAGACACTCTGTCATATCAGATTGTAGCTAGAACTTGCTAATAATCACAGAAGTGCTGCCCTTGTAGAATAGAAAGATGTCTGACTGGCTTTCAGAACCCTGAGAAGCTTCCACGGTCTTCTTGCTCCTCTGTGACTAAGAAGAGCATGAGCTGTCTGCTCAGGGGTTGGAATACACTTGCCAAGAGGAACTGCGGGCTTTGTAAACATGCTAGAGGCCTGGGGGAAGAAGACAACCTCCAAACTCAGTCTTGGTAACGTTTGTGCTACTCAACTGATCAGGATAATTGAATTATCTCCAGGTTGTATAATTTTCGTGAAATCAGTTAAGTGTTCTATTTTGTATTTGGGTCCCTTTTCCTCATCAAACGCCTATTTTATTTTACAGGCTTTTTCTTCCCCTTTCCGCTAAATTTAATACTTCCTCTTTCTAATCCACTGTATAATCCAATTCTTCTTTTTATCACTGCCACGTCTTTCAGTTGCCTGCCCTACCTTTAGACTTTCCCATTTGGTCTTCTTCATCTGCTATTTTACCTGGGGGATCCTATTAACTCACCAGGCCTCAGCTGCCCCCTGGTGCACACATGAATGACCCTTCATGCTTCTCCCCCTTCTACCTCTGCCCTGTTGCAACTCCTGCCTTTCTCTTGCCTTTCAGACACAGCCACCTGCACACCATAGGAGGTCAATATGCCCCAGATGCATGGGGGGGGTTGGGGGGGCTCATAAAACAGTTTATTGTTGAGATTTCTTCCCAAAGCATCTCTTTCTTACCAGTTTTCTGTTCAGATGGCCAGTGTGTCTTTTTATTCCAACATCTCACTTAGAATTTGGGAGGGCATTTCACTTCTGCAGCTCCCTGTTTATGCAGCCCCTTGACAAACAAGTTTTGCTTTTTTTTCCTAAACCTTGTACCGACCAGCTTCACAATTCACCTCTTCCTTTCTGATGTTCTCTCTGAGCCAATGTATTTATCACATCCTTTTCATAATATCCTCTCTGACCTTATCTGCATTGCTTCTGCTCTTTAGCCCCGCAGAATTGCCTTATCATGGCACTGTTTTGGGGGGAGCCAGCAGGAGATTGGTCAAATTTTCCCCTCCTTACGTTCAGGAGTTGAAGGGATCGGGCAAAGGGGAAGTTATGAAATGTGATTTGTTCTCTCCTTTCCTTGAAGAGGATGGTCCTACCCCCTTTAAAATCATCTCTATGTGCAAGTCCCTCTTGCATTCACTCCATTCTCTTGTCTGCTGAGTTTTCCCATAGGCTCTTTTTGTCACTTCCAGTGAAACATTCACAGCTGAAACAGGTTTCCTCCTGTGTAACTGTGTATATGCTTTTTGTCTTTTTCATGTTCATGCCAGGAAAATCAAGCTCTCTGTGTTTGAAATGTAAACATTGCTTCTTGGTGTTCCAAATCATCAATTATCACGCCTCTCGTTATACATAAAATTTTGATTCCTCAATCCGGACTCTTTAACTTGAATGTTTTAGATGAACTAATGTCTATTTCCGGCAAATGATGCAGCTATCATTCCATTTGGATGCTCTGCCCCAAGGAACTGACCTGTAGAGTCTTATTTCTCTGGGATCTGCTGATTCATCATCTCTACTGTGGTTCATACTGAAAAGTGGGTATGTCAGGGGCGGAGTAGAATACCATTCACTGCTAGGCTTCAGGGTATCTGTTTTAACGACAGATCAAAGTTCTCAGGAAACAGCTTCTCTTATCCTCAGCGCTTCAAAAAAAAAAAAAAAAAAGCCTCGCAAATATTTACTTCAGTTCTCCAGCGGGCATCGTCTGTAAAGCCAGGCTCTGTATTTTAAAGAAAAAGCAGTTCTCTGGGAAATGTGCCTCTCCAATTGCTTCTCTCAGTATTCTATAATGTGTCAACATCCACAATTGGAAATTCTGTTCCTCCTTTATGGATGTGAAAAGTAAAGCAGAATGGATCTGTGCTCCATTATGACAGGACTTGGCTCTCTGCTATGGTGGCTTGTAAATAATAAACAACATTTTGCTTGTGTGAGCATGTGGTCCACAACCTAATATATTAACCCCAGGGTGACACACTTTTTATTTAACCCAGATGTCTGGAGGCAGTACCTTGCTCCAAGGACTGAGCATGAGACTTGGGTATTGGGTCTGAAGGGAAGTTGGTGGGGATCCTGTGGTGGAGAACTCATGGTCATCCTGACTGCTCATGTTTGACTCCACTGACGACCACTTTCCAACTCATGGCACAATCACAAGTGAAACTCAGGTTGCCACTTCCGTTCACCGTCCTGCTTTGAAAACATAACTGTTACTTTAGTTATTCTGCTATCTTGGAATACTGTGGTGTAAGAATTGCTTTGAAGTGCTGAGTTCTTTTCTTGCCATACAGATGTGTGTATGTGTGTGTGTGTGTGTGTGTATAGCTCATTTGAAATTCTTGAAGCACAGTGGTGCTGCGTTTTATTCTTTATTCTTACACACACTCATATATACACAAAAATACCTATAGTTTCTTTGCTGTCATCAGTGTAGAAAATAAACCTTAAGGGAATTCTTATAGTTTAAATGCCTGGGTAGTGTATTCACTAAGGATTAGGATACTGAGGGCAGACTGAATTTGTATACCTGCTCTGTGATGGCTATTTTTATATATTAATTTGGCTAGGCCATGGTACCCAGTTTTGATCAAATACAGTCTAGATGTTGATATGAAGGTATTTTTTTTAGATGTGATTAACATTTAAATCAGTCAACTTGAAGTAAAGCTAATCACACTCTATAAGGTGAGTGGGCCCTGTCCGATCAGTTGCAAGCCTCAAGAGAAAAGACTGACATCCCCAAGGAAGAAGGAATTCTATTAGAATCCTGCCTTCAGATTCAAATGACAAGATCAACTCTTCCCTGGGTCTCCAGCCTGCCCTATAGATTTCAGACTTGCCTGTCCTCACAAACACATAAGCCGAGTCCTTAAAATAAATCTCTTATTTTACATACACATCCTATTGGTGCTCTTGCTCTGGAGAATGCTTTCTAATACAGGTTCCATCATTTAATAGCTTTGTGACTTTCAGCAAGTTATTTAACATTCTGTTCCTCAGTGTCTTTATTTCTAAAATGGATATCATAATAATCGGGGGGGCATGAGGATTAAGTGAATTAATGTAACTAAGAATAGTATCTGACGCATGGTTAATTGCTGTGTAAGTCCTAGCCATAATTGTTGCTATTTTTATCATAAATAATATAATTATATATATATATTATTATCACTTTTAGCCATAGGTGGCTAAAGCTCTACTTGCTTTTTCAAAATTTAATATTTTGTTTATAAATATCAGTCTTTTGGTCTAGTTTTTTGCTCCCAACCATTTTCTAACTTGCCAAGGTCTATGAGAGATTCTGAGGGTGATGTCTATTAATTCAGCAACAAATTTTATTGAGTCCTTACTCTGTGCCAGGCTCTTTGCTGGAGACTAGATATCATAGTGGT